TAGAGTCAGAAACAGACTAACATATATGCAACCAACTGATTTATAGTAAATGTTCTACACCAATTCACTAGCCAAGGATGGCCCTTTCAATGGGAAAAATAATGAAACTTCACCCTTACCTCACACCATACACAAATGGATTCAAATGGATTGTAGAGCTAAATATGAATGGTAAAAGTATAAAACTTCTAGAACAAAACAATCTTCATCAATGTTGCATTAAGAATTTCTTAAACAGGGTGCAAAAAACTCTAACCAGAATTTGCACAAATTGATAAGAAAAAGCAAACAACTCAATGAAAAAAATGAGCAGAAACTATAAACGGGCACTTCTCCAAAGAGGATATTAAATGAACAGTACACCTGTGAAATGATGCTCAATATCACTATCCTTGAGAAATGCAGATTGGAACCACAGTGATACACCACCACACACTCACCAAAATAGCTAAAATTAAAGAGACTGCTAGCATCAAGTGTGGGCAAGAATCCAGTGTAGTCAGAACTCCCATCCACTGTTGTGAGAGGGCAGTTGGTACATCTGCTATGTGAAACTGCTTGGCAGTTTCTAACGAAGTATGCACAAGCCCGTGACCCAGCAATCCCACTCCTAGCAGAAATGCATACATAGGACACTAAAAGACACATGCGGAATGTCTTCAGCAGCATTATTCATAATAGCCAAACAAATGAAAACCACCCGAACGTACATCAACAGAGAAATGGAGAGATGAATCATGATACACTTATCAAACAGAACGCTACACAGCAATGACAGTGAACTAACTCGGACTACAAGCAATAACAAGGATAAATTTTACAAACATAATTTTGGGCAAAAGAAACCAGACTTGAAAGAATACGTGCTATACAGTTCTACTTACATGAGGCTCAAAACTAGGCACAGTGAACGTGCAAGTGAGCATAGCAGGTACCTTTGCAGGGGAGGGGAGACAACCAGGAGGAGGCTGAGTGGGGGCAGGAGTGCTTCTGAGGTCTGAGAATGTTCTAGAGCAGGCCTTCTGCACCTTGGCACTACCCACATTTGGGGCCAATGGTTTTTTGTTGCGGAGAAGTAAATCTTATCCCGTGA